TTTTTGTATTTTTAGTAGAGACGGGGTTTCACCATGTTGACCAGGATGGTCTCGATCTACTGACCTCTTGATCCACCCGCCTCAGCCTCCCAAAGTGCTGGGACTACAGGCTTGAGCCACCGCACCCAGCCCTTTTTCTTTTTTTAAATTTGAGAGTCTTGCTCTGTCGCCCAGGATGGCGTGCAATTGAGCCATCTCGGCTCACTGCAGCCTCCGCCTCCCGGGTTCAGGTGATTCTCCTGCCTCCTCCCGAGTAGCTGGGACTGCAGGTGCCCGCCGCCAGGCCTGCCTGATTTTTGTACTTTTAGTAGAGACGGGGTTTCACCACGTTGGCCAGGCTGATCTCCATTGCTTTTCCTTGTGACCTGCCCGCCTCGGCCTCCCAAAGTGCTGGGACTACAGGCGTGAGCCACCGGGCCAGGCCGAGACCGAGGCACGTTCTAAAGCACAAGGGGAAGTTTATAAAAAAGCTCTGGAGCAGGAATGAAAGGAAGTCAAGTGCACTTGGTGCCATGTGGGTGACTTGAGGCGTCAAGTCAGCAGTTTGACCTGTGACTTGGGGGTGTATATGTTGGCATGGCTCTGGCGTCTTGCGCCCCTTCTCCTGATTCTTCCCTGGGGGGCTGTCGCCAGCACCTGGCACTGGCTGCATGCCGCCTGTTTGCTGGAGCCACGCGCAGGCTCACTGTTGAGTGCACCCCAGTGAAGAGGCCACCCAAACGGGCTTGTGTGAGCAGCAGGGCTGTTCATCCACCGGGGGCCAGCCGTCCAGTCCAAAAAGGGGTCGTCGTGGAGGTGGGGGCAGAGCAGGCTGTGCAGGCCGGGGCAACGACGGGGGAGTGACGGCTCAGGCTGGTTGCTGCTGGCTCAGCGGGTTGGTCCGGCGCTGGAACGGGAACCTGCTGTCCTTCGCGGTCTTCTGTTTTGGACTTTCAGGGTCCAGGTAGCCATCTGGAGGTGCACGTGCAGGTTACAGGGTTCAAAATGGCTTGACAACAGGGCTGCCATCTCTGGGGGGCTAGCAGTCACTTGAGGCGTTCTTCCCTTACCAGGGATGCTCCTAGGTCTGACATCAGTTACACTCCGCCATTTTGCCTCTTACTGCACACTGGGGCCCACTCACCCAACTCCTGAGATCTCAGCACTGTTAAAACGAGACCTTTGAACGAAGAGACCCCACAAACAGGCTCTGTGTGGGCAGCAGGGCTGTTTATTCAGCTGGGTGCAGGTGGCCTAAGGCTCAAAAGGGAGTTAGCAAAGGGCGCTGGGATAGGAGTTAGTTTTATAGGTTCAGGGTGGGCAGTGGAAAGTTACAGAAGTTACTTTAGGGTGGTTTATTGCAAGCTGGGAGGGGGTCGTAGGGTGTGGAGCCAGGGGCTGGGCCAAGGTCAGTTACAAAGTCCAGTGGCCTTGTCAATTGAGGCGGGAAAGGACCGATAGGAGAAGGTCTCGGGTTAGTTACGTGCCGCAGGGTCTTCCTTCCAGCTACTTCAGGTTTTCTGGTTCCAGAAGGCCCCCTAGAGGTGTGTTTGTGGTTCCTGGGGTCGCCATGCTGTCCACAGTGCGGGCCGACCTTACGATCCGTTTCAGGCTTTTAAAATCTATTCAGAGTCTGCCTTTCCCTGGTGCTGGTTGCTACCAATTATTATTTTAGAGAAAGAGCGTAACAACCATCGGATCATCACCTGAGGGGTTGCTGGACATTCCTGGTTGCGGGTGGGAGCCAGGCTCCTTCCTGCTCAAGCCTGAGGAGCTACCTACGGTGGCATGTCAGTGAGAATTATTGTTAACTGTGAGCTGAGCTAACCCACCCCTCCCCCCCAACTAACCTCCCCCTCCATCTGGGCTTTCCCTTAATTATCCCTGGTTTTGGGGGCCAAGCTGACTTTGAGAGACATTTAGGCGATAGTTTAAATGACAACAGCCTTGTTCAAAATTCAGCAGCTCATCATGATTGAGGACTAAACTCTGATTTTTTATCTTCCCCAAATTCCTATCTAAGGGAGTCATGCCCTACAAATTCTCATCAGATGGGTTTTATTTAACCGTATATATCACGACTTACTTTCTAACCTGACCCTGGCATAACATCACGACAGGAGGAAGAAAATAAAAATATTTTACCCCAAAACAAGTTTCTCTGCCTTATTTTGAACCGGCCCTACAAAGAGGTTCTTTGTGGGGGAAAATCTGCATCTGTAAAGAATCTCTATTAACATAGGTGGATCTTTTTCTCTGAGACTCTCCCAATCCTGAGGAGATTAACTGAGAACTGAGTAGGAACCCTTTCTCACCTACTGTCTGTCCCAGGGCAGGCACTATCAGACTTCGAAAGAACTTTGGTCTCCGCATTTTTTTTTTTTTTTTTTTTTTTTTTGAGACGGAGTTTCCCTCTTGTTACCCAGGCTGGAGTGCAATGGCGCCATCTCAGCTCACCGCAACCTCCGCCTCCTGGGTTCAGGCAATTCTCCTGCCTCAGCCTCCTGAGTTGCAGGGATTACAGGCATGCACCACCATGCCCAGCTAACTTTTTTTTGTATTTTTAGTAGAGACGGGATTTCACCATGTTGACCAGGATGGTCTTGATCTCTTGACCTCGTGATCCACCCGCCTCGGCCTCCCAAAGTGCTGGGATTACAGGCTTGAGCCACCGCGCCCGGCTTTTTTTTTTTTTTTTTTTTAAACATGGGGTTTCAACTTGATGGCCAGGCTGGTCTTGAACTCCTGACCTCAGGTGATCCACCCACCTCGGCCTCCCAAAGTGCTGGGATTACAGGTGTGAGCCACCGCGGCCGGCCTCGGTCTCCACATCTTAACCTCAACAGTCCCTTTCTATCAATCCCAGGCCTTTAGACAAACTCAACCAATTGTCAACCAGAAAATGTTTAAATTCACCCATATCGTGGAACACCAGCACCCCCAACGCACCCACCCACGCACTGCTTTGGGTTGTCCTGCCTTTCTGGACCAAACTAATGTTTTCCTTTTTTTTCTATCTTTCTTTCTTTCTTTTTTTTTTTTTTTGCAATGGAGTCTGACTCTGTGGCCAGGCTGGAGTGCAATGGCGTGATCTCCGCTCACTGCAACCTCTGCTTCCCAGGTTCAAGCGATTCCCCTGCCTCAGCCTCCCCAGTAACTGGAGTTACAGGTGTCCGTCACCATGCACAGCTAGTTTTGTATTTTTAGTAGAGACAAGGTTTCAGTACGTTGGCCAGGACAGTCTCGAACTCTTGACCTCATGATCTGCTGCCTCGGCTTCCCAAAGTACTGGGATGACAGCCGTGAGTCAGCACCCGGGCCCAGTGTCCTTCTGGAACGTATTTGGTTTATGTCTCGCGTCTCCCTAAAATGCGTAAAAGCAGGCCGCGCCCCGGCCCCCTCGGGCGTGTGTCCCCAGGACTTCGCGGGCGGCCCGCCGCGGTCGCTCCCGTCTGGCTCCGAGGAAACGTCTTCAAACCCTTGACGGAGTCTGACCCTTTCCGCCGACCGGATCACGGAGTGAAAGATCCGCCTTCGGAGATCTCGCCCCGCTTTCCGCGTGCCTGGCGCCCGCGGCTGCCCCGGACCTGACAGCGCCTGGGGTCCCGCGCGTGGGGCGGCCGTCGAGTCCGCGGACCCGTTTTTATTGATTCGTTTTTGGCGCGGGGTCCGGCTCTGCCGCCCGGGCTGGAGCGCAGCGTCGCGACCCCGGCTCGCGGCCACCCCGCCTCCCAAACCGTTTCTTCACCGCCACGCGCCGGTTTCTCGGGCCGCGGGCAGGAGGCGCCCCCAGCGTTACCGACGGACGCGGCCCGTCTCCGGGAGGCGAACCCCACACGCGGGGCGGCTCGTGCGGCCTCCGACGCCTGCACCCCGGGCCCGCGCAGCCGCGTCCAAGTCTCCGGACCCCGGAGCTGCCGCCCGCCTGGGCCCCGCCGCTGGGAACCGGGATGTGGGGGGCCGCGTGGGAACCGCGCTGGGGCCGGGACGACAGCGCGCCCCGCACCTCCGCCTTCGTGATGCGCATTTCCAGAGTGCGGGTTCGCGGGTCCCTGGCCGCCCTGCGGGGGTCTCCACCTGCCGGGGCCCCCCCGTGGGTCCCACGCACCCCGCGCCTGGGCCTGGCGCCTCCTCCCGCCCCGGCGGCTGCGCCCACCGCCCGTCCCCCCATCCCGGGACCCCCGGGCCGGCTTCCTCCCTGGTCAAGCTCACGACAGCGGAACCCCGGGGAGAGCACGCGCCCCCACGCGCGTCCATGGTCCCCCCTGGGGATTCCCACGAGGACCGGGCCCCGGGAGATAGGGCGCCGCAGCGGGGGCGGCGGAGGGGGTGGGGGCAGGTAGGGGTCGGTCCCCAGGCAGGTCCCACTGCGGAAGCCTGAACCCGAGCCCCGGGACAAGGGACACCGCGGTAGAGGCCCCGCCCCACCGTGTGCCGGGAGGGGCCCGCCTGGTGGGCTCCGACTTCACAGATTCTGTCGAGTTGGTGGAGAAGTCAGTGGGTCTCACTGGCCTCTGCAGTCAGTGGGCTCTGCCCACCGTCAGGTCAATGGCTGCCCCCACCCCAGGAGAGCAGAGAAGATGCCCGCTGGACTGGAGGAGGCAGCGGCCAGGACCCAGCAGCCTGATCACCCGGGAGGGGCTGCAGGCCCGCGCTCCTTCAGCTGCTGCCCTGGGCACAAAGCCGGGCTCCTCCCACAGGGCCTGCGCTGCCCACCTCTGCAAGACCAGCGCTCCAGCCAGCTCAGAGGCAGGCAGGTTTGTCTCGGCCCAAAGGTGTTCTGGACACAGTGTGTCTGTCCTTACCTTGGTGTCAGATAAATCTCTGCCCTGTGGTCCTGGTCTTGGGAAACTGAGGAGCTGCCCACTGTAGGAGGCCAGAAACCAGCAAAGGCTGAGCAGGCCCTGCTCCCTGGAAAGCTTCGCAGAGGAGGGATTCCTCTGTGCAGGGCTGACCCCTGGCTCGGTCTCAGGACCAGGCTGGGGACTCCAGCAGGCCCCTCTCCAGGTGAAGTCAAAGCATCATCACAAGCACATGCACTTTATTGAATGTCAGCGCAGAGAGGCCTGTGAGGATACACAGCTGTATGTGGGTGGGGGGCACCCAGGGAGCAGGACGGGCAGCCCTTCCCGCAAGGGCAGCAAGTGTCGGAGTACGAGGGTCTCAGGCCATGGGCAGCTAGAAGGGAATTCTTTGGTCCTGTAAGATCCGTGACACAACATGGTACATCATCACAGAGCCAAACACCACTAGCAGGATGAATCCAATGGTCATGATGATGCCCACGATCAGGGCCCAGATGTTCAAGCACTTGGCGGTGGAGGCGTAGGCCTGGGCCCCGGTCAGGTCGCCAACCATCTTCCTGTCCCTAGACTGGGGCAGAGGAGACAGTGAGGGGACCAGGAGCCCTCAGGTAGGAGCCACATGCTATGGCTCAGGCTCCCCCCTGGCTCCTACCTGCCCTGAGATCAGGGACCACCCCTCCCCTTCCTCACCCAGCCCCAGACTCTCCAGGAGCCTCAGGGCTCAGCCTCCCTCAGCCTTGGCCCCAGCACAGGCTGCTCTCCCCACCACGGGGCGAAGTCACCTGTGAGTTCCTTCTCACTTGCTGGGGAGCCTGGGTGCCAGTCTGGAAGGTGAGGGTGTCATTTCTGGCACTGGGTGATAGGGAGCCTTGCTCTGGGCTGCTGGATCGGGAGACTTACTCTGAGCCAGCCAGCCTCCTGGAGCCTCCCCCTAGACCTGCACTGAGCACATTCCCCAGGCCACACACACAGGTCACTCAGACAAAGCTACAGACGTGGGCACACACAGGACAGAGGTGCACACAAACCCACACTCACAGGGACACACAAGCCCCCGCCCCAGGCAGCACCTGGGCAGGTGGAGCTCCAGGCTGCCCGGCTCCCCCGACTTCCCCGGGGCCACACGCACCTTCACGGAGTAGGCGAACGCTATGAAGCCCAGGCAGCACCAGTTCATGAAGATGGTGTTGAACAGGGACCAGACGACGTGGTCGGGCACGGAGGCCTCGCTCTGGATGTTGATCACAGTGGACCTGGGAAGCATGCTGCTCTGGGGCCCCCCCAGCACCGCCACTTCGTGCTCCTCCTTGAGCATCTTCTGGCTTTGGAGCAGGAAGTAGTGAGTGAAGGTTTGAGCAGAGTGGTTTTCGGTGTGGAGTCGGGGCAGCTGTGGTGTTCAGACACGGGGAGGCTGCTCGGTGGGTTTTTTTTCCCCTGTAGTTTCTGTTTCTCAGAAGCGTGTATTTCTTGTAAGTTTCTATTTCCTGCTGTTTATAAATTGGTGAATTAGCCAGGGACCAGTGGTTTGGAACAAATTCTTGAGGATCAAATTACTTCATGGCAGAGTGGGAGGGAAGGCTGAGGGTTAAGGAGGGGCTTCCTCATCAGAAACTCCAGTCAGGACTGGTCACTTCCCAAGCCTTGGGTTTGGGGAGCCCTGTGGATTTTAGCCCAGGCTGGAAAGTGCAGGATCTCAGTGTCCCGGTTCAGGGCCCCTGCCAGCCCCCCACTCCAGGTCCGGGAACAATCCCCCCAAAGCCCTCACCTCACTTGCCACAGGCCGCGTCTCCTGAACTCCCTTGCCCTTTCCTGGGGCTGCAGCCCTGCTCTGTATGGGTTTGGAGGCTAAACCGCCCCATGTCTCCTGGTGCAGGTCAGAGGCCTGGTCGCCCATGGTGGGCTCCCAAAGCAGCTGCCCAGGCCTAGGAATGGGGACTCTGGGAGCCCCGAATGAAGAGGGGGTTGTGTTGGGTCTCGGGAGGGTTCCAGGGCCTGTGGGGGCAGCTTCAGAGTCCAGGGCACACATGTGCCCCCAACTTCCTCCCTGTGGGTCCCAGCATTGCCCATGGGCTTGGCTGGGTCGTAGCCAGGCAGGAAGGACCTGGAGGGTTGGCAGAGAATTGTCTGCCGAGTTGGGAGGGAGCCCTCAGGCAGAAGGTCATGAATTACAAATCACAGACCGTTGGAGCCTAAAAGTTCTCTTTCTGCTTTTTTTTCTGCCTGCTTTAAGCCTGCTGCTACTTTTCTTTTTTCTTTTTTTTTTTTGAGACGGAGTTTCGCTCTTGTTGCCCAGGCTGGAGTGCAATGGCGCGATCTCGGCTCACCGCAACCTCCGCCTCCTGGGTTCAGGCAATTCTCCTGCCTCAGCCTCCTGAGTAGCTGGGATTACAGGCACGCGCCACCATGCCCAGCTAATTTTTTGTATTTTTAGTAGAATCGGGGTTTCACCATGTTGACCAGGATGGTCTCGATCTCTTGACCTCGTGATCCACCCGCCTCGGCCTCCCAAAGTGCTGGGATTACAGGCTTGAGCCACTGCGCCCGGCCTTATTTTTCTTTATTTATTTTTGAGACAGAGTCTCGCCCTGCTGCCAGGCTGGAGTGCAGTGGCGTGATCACGGCTCACTGAAGCCTCCAACCTCCGCCTCCTGGGTTCAAGTGATTCTTCTTCCTCAGCTTCCCAAGTAGCTGGGACTACAGGTGTGCGCCACCACGCCCAGCTAATTTTTGTACTTTTAGTAGAGATAGGGTTTCACTTTCACCATGTTGGCCAGGATGGTCTCGATCTATTGACCTCATGATCCATCTGCTTCGGCCTCCCAAAGTGCTGGGATTACAGGAGTCAGCCACCGTGTTCGGCCTATTTATTTATTTTTTGAGACAGAGTCTCACTCTGTTGCCCAGGCTAGAGTGCAATCTTGGCTCACTGCTGCAACCTCCGTCTCTTGGGTTCAAGCGATCTCGTGCCTCAGCCTCCCAAGTAGCTGGAATTACAGGCACCCGCCACCACACCCAGCTAATTTTTGTATTTTTAGTGGAGATGAGGTTTCAACATGTTGGCCAGGCTGGTCTCGAACTCCTGACCTCAGGTCATCTGCCCATCTTGCCCTCCCAAAGTGCTGGGATTACAGGCCTAAGCCGCCGTGCCTGGCTTGTTTGCATGTATTGATCAAGAGATTTCATACTTATCCCTGCCAAATACTATGAGGTGTCAAAATTTTGATGAAAGGGTCTCCCTCTGTCGCCCAGGCTGGAGTGCAGTGGCGCAATCATGGCTCATTGCAACCTCCCACTCCTGGGTTCAAACGAGTCTCCTGCCTCAGCCTCCCAAGTACCTGGGACTACAGGCACCCGCCACCATACTCGGCTAATTTTTGTATTTTTAGTAGATAAGGGATTTCGCCACGTTGGCCAGGCTGGCAGATCACTTGAGTTTGGGAGTTCGAGACCAGCCTGACAACATTGAGAAACCCCATCTCTACTAAAAATAGAAAAAAAATCAGGCAAGTGTGGTGGCACATGCCTGTAATCCCAGCTACTCGGGAGGCTGAGGCAGGAGAATCACTTGAACCTGTGAGGCAGAGGTTGGGTGAGCTGAGTTCACGCCATTGCACTCCGGCCTGGGCAGCAAGAGCGATACTCTGTCTCAAAAAAATAAATAAGAAAGAAAGAAAAATTTAAAAAATGTCTGGTCCAGGCGCTGCCATTGTAGAGAAGTGTAAGGATAAAGGCCTGATACCGGACTTGGGTTAAGGGGCCAGGACCAGCAGCAGATGGCGAGTACCTGGCCTTGGAGATTATCTTTTTTTTTTTTTTTTTTTGAGACGGAGTTTCGCTCTTGTTACCCAGGCTGGAGTGCAATGGCACGATCTCGGCTCACCGCAACCTCCGCCTCCTGGGTTCAGGCAATTCTCCTGCCTCAGCCTCCAGAGTAGCTGGGATTACAGGCACGTGCCACCATGCCCAGCTAGTTTTTTGTATTTTTAGTAGAGATGGGGTTTCACCATGTTAACCAGGATGGTCTCGATCTCTTGACCTCGTGATCCACCCGCCTCGGCCTCCCAAAGTGCTGGGATTACAGGCTTGAGCCACCATGCCCGGCCGGAGATTTTTTACCATCTGAGACATTGCGGGATTTTATCACAGAACTACTGGTAACAGGTCCATGGGTGCAGTGGTACAAGGATGCCCACAATCAGGGCCCAGATGTTCAGGCACTTGGCGGTGGAGGCGTAGGCCTGGGCCCCGGTCAGGTCGCCAACCATCTTCCTGTCCCTAGACTGCGGCAGAGGAGACGGTGAGGGGAACAGGAGCCCTCAGGTAGGAGCCACGTGCTATGGCTCAGGCTCCCCCCTGGTTCCTACCTGCCCTGAGATCAGGGACCACCCCTCCCCTTCCTCACCCAGCCCCAGACTCTCCAGGAGCCTCAGGGCTCAGCCTCCCTCTGCCTTGGCCCCAGCACAGGCTGCTCTCCCCACCACGGGGCGAAGTCACCTGTGAGTTCCTTCTCACTTGCTGGGGAGCCTGGGTGCCAGTCTGGATGGTGAGGGTGTCATTTCTGGCACTGGGTGATAGGGAGCCTTGCTCTGGGCTGCTGGATCGGGAGACTTACTCTGAGCCAGCCAGCCTCCTGGAGCCTCCCCCTAGACCTGCACTGAGCACATTCCCCAGGCCACACACACAGGTCACTTAGACAAAGCTACAGACGTGGGCACACACAGGAAGAGGTGCACACAAACCCACACTCACAGGGACACACAAGCCCCCACCCCAGGCAGCACCTGGGCAGGTGGAGCTCCAGGCTCCCCGGCTCCCCGGGACTTCCCTGGGACCACACACACCTTCATGGAGTAGGCGTAGGCTATGAAGCCCAGGCAGCAGGAGTTCACGAAGATGGTGTTGAACAGGGACCAGACGACGTGGTCGGCCACAGAGGCCTCGCTTCGGATGTGGATCACGGCTGAGTTCACACCATGCCCCTCCTTGACCATGTGTCAGGTTTCGGGGAGGCTGCTGTGTGTGAGTGAAGAAGGCTTGGCAAGTGTGGTTCCTGATGGCTGACGTGGCCATCTGTAGAGTGACGTGGTTCCTGATGGCTCTCGTGGCCGTCTGTGGAGTGACGTGGTTCCTGATCGCTGATGTGGCCGTCTGTGGAGCGACGTGGTTCCTGATGGCTGACGTGGCCGTCTGTGGAGCGACGTGTGTTCCTGGATACGCTGATTGTGGCCGTCTTGGAGCCGCCTGTTTCCTGATGGCTGACGTGGCCGTCCTGTGCTGACGGGGCGTCTGTGGAGCGACGTGGTTCCTGATGGCTGACGTGGCCGTCTGTGGAGCGACGTCGGATGCTGGGTGCCCTTCCTTGCAGATCTTTGCTGTCGTGTCAGAGTCTGGCCCCCTGGACTCAGGGCTTGTGCTTTCTTAGAAGTTGTTGTTTCCTGCTGTTTGGAAATTCGAGAATTTGTGTGAGGTCTGGGGGAGGTAACACATTTCTGAACGTGAGGTCGTACGCTCAGTGCAGGTGAAGCACTGTAGGGTCGGGGGCCTTCTATCCAGGGGCCCTATCCGGGCAAGTGCCACATGACCCCAACTTCCTTCTGCAGGGGTCAGAGGCCTCTGTGAACTTCACTAGGCCTGAGAGTCCCCTCCTCTTACACCTGGAGCGCAGGACCTCACTGTCTTGGCCAGGGTCCTTCCCAGGCCCCGATGGGGCCTGCACACTCCAGGATCCTCACGCCCTCACCGCTCACAGACCCCCAGTGAGGACATCTTCCCTCTCCTGGGCTGCAGTTCTGCTCTGTGGGTTCGGAGGCAGAAACGTCCCCCACGTGTCTCCTGGTGCAGGTCAGACGCCCGCCCGGCGACCGGTGCTGCCTGCCCCAAAGCAGCCCTCCAGGCCCAGGCACGGGACGCTGGGGAGCGCTGACCGAAGAGGAGGCGAACACAGGGAAGGTTCCAGTGCCTGTGGGGGCAGCTTCAGTGCTCAGGGCCGACATGTGCGACCCCCTCCTTCTTCCTTCCTGGGCCCCTTTGTTTTATAAGATGCCACAGAGGTCGAGGGGACGTGAGGGGCAAGGGGGTTTCCTGGACTCAGGGCCACACCCGTGGGGCCTGGGGAGGGCTGTAGGGTCCCATGGGCCAAGAGCTTCCTGAGATGGCAACACTTCCTTCTTTCTGCCTCAGTGCCCGTGGACAGGGGTGCAATCAGGTGAGGTTATTGCATCAGGGCTCCTGTGGCATCTGGCCAAAGACAACATGCTGAAAAGGTTTCCTGAAAAACTCTGAATGAGAACTCACCTCCCGAGAGGCCCTGTGCCTTCCAGGAGGAAGCGGGAGTCACGTGAGACCGGACGGGGTCCCCGTCTCCAGCTCTTCCTAGGTGGGGCCCCTGTTTCCCTGCTCTGCTCGCTGAGGTCCTCAGGGTCCAGTCCGCTCCCCACCATACCCTGGAGTTGTCCAGGCTGCCAGAGACCTGCCCCCGTGCTGTCTCAGCCTGGACTCGGGTGGCCGGGGCCTCCTCTGCATCCAGCTCCTCTGCGGTGCCTCTGGCCTGGCTGCCCTCTGAGGCAGCCTCTGTGACCACCCAGCCCTTGGAACATGGCCAGTTCCATTCTCGAATTGCCGAGTGCAAAGCTCATGCAGGATTGTGAAGATTTGGCGAGATAAAAAATTTCTTCATGAAATGTCCGTATTTCATCAAGTCTATTTTGTTGATTATATGTTGAGATAATATTTTGTATATATTTTGTTTAAATAAAATAGATTGCTGGCCAGGCATGGTGGCTCACTCCTGTAATCCCAGCACTGGGAGGCCAAGGCAGGAGGATCACTGGAGGCCAGGAGGTTGAGGCTGCAGTGAGCCGGGGTCGCATCCCCGCCCTCCAGCACAGATGACAGAGTGAGACCCCGTCTCTAAAAACAATTAAGTAAAATTAAATCAGTACAAAATAATTTTAAATTAAAATAAAGAAGATGTTAAAACAAATATCACCACTTCCTTTTGCTTTTTTAGAAATGTTGGTACTGAGGGCCCGGCGCAGTGGCTCACGCCTGTAATCCCAGCACTTTGGGAGGCCAAGGCAGGCAGATCACCTGAGGTCAGGAGTTGGAGACCAGCCTGGCCAGCATGGTAAAACCCTGGCTCTGCTAAAAATACAAAAAATTAGCCAGGGCGTGGTGGTGGGTGCCTGTAATCTCAGCTACTCGGGAGGCTGAGGCAGGAGAATCGCTTGAACCTGGGAGGCGGAGGTTGCAAGTGAGCTGAGATTGCGCCACTGCACTCCAGCCCGGGGGACAAAGTGAGACTCCATCTCAAAAAAAAAAAAAAAAAAACAGGAAATGCTGGTACTGGGAGATTTAAATCTGACCTCTGACCGTGAAGGGCACAGCCTCCACACCCACGCCTGAGTCCTTCCACTGGCAGCATCACAGGGGAGCGCTGTGGGTCCGAGGCGGGGGTCCTGGCCTGGAGAGCTGCCCCCAGTCGCCCAGGACTCCGGCTTCCGCTCAGGGGCTCACTTCTTTCTTGAATTAGGGCTGGGTCTCCTGGCCACAAGGGAGCTGCATATTTGAGGCCTGGGTCCTTTCACAAATATGCCTCATGGCACAGGGCAGGGCTCTGTGCAGAGGGCAGCAGGGGCGGGGGGGCTCGGGCCACCAGCCCCGTGTGGGCGCTGCAGGTGGCTTCCCCCACCCCTTCAGACACAATAATTTCAGAAGGTGGCGTTTGTACCTGACCTCTTAGGAGTCTTAAGACTTTTTCTAATGGATGTTTTCCAAGGACAGACTAATTTTCAGAGACATAAGAACAAGCTGGTCATCATTACGAAGACAAATGTTCTGATTGCTGAGGGAAATAATGTTGATATTTCTGTGAATCTACTCAATTAACACCCAACCAAAACCGCATTTTTTTTTTTTTTTTTTTTGAGACAGAGTTTCGCTCTTGTTACCCAGGCTGGAGTGCAATGGTGTGATCTCGGCTCACCGCAACCTCCGCCTCCTGGGTTCAGGCAATTCTCCTGCCTCAGCCTCCTGAGTAGCTGGGATTACAGGCACACACCACCATGCCCAGCTAGTTTTTTGTATTTTTAGTAGAGACGGGGTTTCACCATGTTGACCAGGATGGTCTCGATCTCTCGACCTCGTGATCCACCCGCCTCGGCCTCCCAAAGTGCTGGGATTACAGGCTTGAGCCACCGCGCCTGGCCGCTTTTTTAGAATGTATCTGGGGCAGGCGTCCCCACACTGCGGCCCCCTGAGGCCATGTATCCGGCCCCCCAGCCGCACTTCAGGAAGGGGCACCTCTTTCATTGGTGGTCAGTGAGAGGAGCACAGTATGTGGCGGCCCTCCGACGGTCTGAGGGACGGTGAACTGGCCCCCTTGTGTAAAAAGTGTGGGGACGCCTGGTCTAGGATATCGAAAAACATCTCTTCTTCCTAAGTGAAGAAAGTAATGTATACGGTGGTCCGTTTCCAAGACAAAGTGCTTTAAATCAACTTAGGTCGGCAAACTACAGAAGAAGCAGGATGTAACCTCGGCCTCCCGCTCCCTCCCTCCCCCACACTTAGTTGCCCTCACCCCAGCCGAGGAGCTGAGTCCGAGGGGAACGTTTACTAGCCTGCAAAACAGCTCGCTTAGTCGGTTCTTATCAGCCTGCCCAGCTGCTCCGGTCATAAATCAAATGCACGAAGAGCCCCTGAGCCCATGAGGATTGCAGGGCATTGCTGGCGGCCACAAAACGCAGCCAGACGACCTAACGAAAACTCCTACAGCCCCTGCCCAACCAGGCGACATCCGACCGGAAGATCGTGACCCCACAGTCCTCCGCCTGCCAGAAGCCAGGGAGGGGCCTGAGCCCCAGGGGACCAACAGCCTGGGTGAGCCTGCCCCTCACACGCCTGACCCTGCAAGTCCATCTTTAGGTCTCACTTCCGCTGTTTTCGGGTCTCTGAGTTCATTCCTTGGGTTTGGACGCGTGAGTCTGTTTCTCAGAGTAAGGCTCTGTAATATTAAGACTTAGCATTTTAAGGAAAAAGCAAGTCTCCATGGGGTCTCTTAATGGCCAAAAAATGGAGTAAGGAATAAATAGTTGTTTTGTTTTGATCTGTGTGTTTTTGTTTCTTTGTTTGAGATGAGGTTTCATTCTGTCACCCAGGCCGGAGGGCAGGGGCCCCGTCACACACCGCAGCCTCAACCTCCTGGGCTCAAGCAATCCTCCCGCCTGAGCCTCCTGAGTCAATGCAACTTCAGAGTAACACACACCACCATGCCCAGCTAACGTTTAAATTAGGGTCTCAATCCACAGAGAAATAAGGAGCATTTGAGCATTCATCTTCGGCAAAAGCAATCTGAAATGGTCTCTGTGAGCAGCGCCCTGTCTTTATGGAGACTCCGTGTGGAGAAAGAGGCTGCGTCCCAGGATGGGCACGGCTCCTTCCTTCCCAAGCCCGTTCTTAGCCGCAGTGGTGGGAGCGGCGGCCAGCGGGTGCCAGTTTCGCCAATGCCTGCAGAGGGCCAGGACAGATTCAGAGAAGCCCCAAGTCAGAGGGAGGGGGAAATGCACCCTTCCCCACGCTTAGGTTGAACAGCCCCATGCGGGGTACCCTGGCCTTGCTCTGATGCAGCTGCTGTTCCCGAGGCAGTGACTCTCTCCAAGTGTGGCCCCGCCCCCTGCACAGGCGCACCCCCAGGACCTGCGTGGCCTCAAGGGGCCCAGGTGTACTGGGTCAGGGCTGCTCCCCGGCTTTCCTCCTGGAGCCTTTCTTCCCCACCTTGCGGTTAGGCGTGAACTCACCTCAAGCCACAAGCTCACGCCCACCTGCAAGGTGGTGGTGTCCCTGGAGATGCTGTGGCCATGAGAGGTGGTGCCAAGCAATCAGGTGTGACTCCACTTCCGGTTCCCACCTCGGAGGCCGGGCAGCACGCCCCGGGGCGCCCCAACCCGGCGGTGGGCACAGACTGCACACCCGCCCAGGCCCACGCCAGGAGGGACCCAGCGGCCGAGGGTGGAACTGCCGGTCACCAGCACAGCCCGGCTCATCCTGGCTGCCTCAGACGGAGCAGGGAGCGCGTGGTGGAAAAGCTGCCCCTGGGTGTTTGGAAGGCACAGCAAGAACCTAGTAACGGTGAGCCCTGGGGTTTGAGGCTGGGCAGCGAATGTTCTGCGTGTGCTGTCCGTCCAGCACCAAGAGGTCAGGAGAGAACCGGTCATTGGGTGAGTGGGAACTAAAGGAATTCGAGAGCATCCAGGGGGAGCTTTCTGGGTTAAAAGAGGCAACCGCCTTTCCCTCTTGCACAGTGGAAGGTGAGATTGCAGAGACCCTTGTGTGGCCATTTCGGCATTGCCGCTACGATGGAGTCAACAGCACACCATTGCTGAAAACCGAGGAGCCCGGGCAGCCAGGGGAGCCGCACGGGAAAACCCCTTCATTGCAGCGAATGCTCCAAGAGAAAGAGATTAAGGGTGTGACTCGCGCTCTTATGCCTGGCCTGACACTGCATTTTGTACAGGGGGATCCCAGAGCGAGGACGACCAGGGAAAGCGGAGCGTGGGGAGGAGCAGGTGGACGCGGCACCTGGACCTGTCTGATCAAACTGAGGTTTACAGCTGGTGAAGGCCGGCGCGGTGGCTCACACCTGCAATCCCAGCACTTCAGGAGGAGGAGGCAGGTGGATCGCTGGAGCCCAGGAGTTCAAGACCAGCCTGGGCAACATGGTGAGACCCCACCTCTACAAAAAGTACGAAAAGTAGCCAGCTGCGGCGGTGCAGGCCTGCGGTCCCACCCACGAGGGAGGCTGAGGTGGGAGGATCACTGGAGCCCAGGAGGTGGAGGCTGCACTGCGGGGTTCAGTCACGTCGCTGCACTCCAGCCGGGGCCACAGAGTGAGACCCTGTCTCAAAAAAAAAAAAGGTGATCAAGTATTTGAAATAGTTGCACTCTCCTCCTAAAAACACAGCCTGGATCCAAGGGGACCGTGACAGCTTGAGACTCAAAGTAGCCCTTGGCCTCCCACGTCTCTGTGGGCGAGAATGGAGCTGAGGGAGCCGCTCACTCTCCAGCACCCGCCCCGGTGGGGCCACAGAGGCCCGGGGGGCTGGGGGGTGATCCCTCCACCAAGCACAACCCACACCTCTTCCAGGGAGCTGCTCCCTGGGGTCCCAGTCCTCACCCGGCCATCGGGGGGACTTTGGAGCCACTGCAGAGCCTGGCCGCCGGGGTCTGCCTTCCTCCCCTTCCAGACCAGACTGCTGAAGCCACCTGTCCCTGCTCCTTGGTTGAGTACTGGGCGCGTGGGCGGTAGACGCTTCATCTCTTCAACTCAGAGCCGTCCAGCTTGAGAGGAAACACGGCCGGGCTGGAGGCGGCAGCTGTGAACATCTGACCTTCGTGTAGGTGGAGGACACGCGGGGCGGCGGCCCTTGAGGAAGCGCGTGTATTTTGCTTGCAGGAAGGGCAGCCTTCCCGGTAGCTGGCAGGTGTCTGGATGTGGTCTGCATTAGTGCTGTTCACCAGACACCTTTGGCTCTCCTCTGGGCAGATGGCAGGGTGGTGTCTTCCCATGGACTTCCTTCTTGTGGCCTCAGTAACCACAGAGACGCCTGTCAAGGGGTGACCTTGCCCAGGGCCTCTGCGTGAGGGTGGGGAGCAGAGTCCTCCTTAGGGGGAGTGGTGCGTGCCTGGGACGTAATTGTGTGGGGCCACTTGTTACACAACCTGTCCTGGCGGATGCAAATGGCAGGTCCTCAGTTTAGTCTCACCCTCACTGGAGATCCTAGCCTTGGCCTTACAGGCTCTCCAGATCTCTTCCTGGCAGAATTTTGGTGATTTCAGATATCTGATTACTGCTGAATCCACTTTTCCCACCGTTTCTATTTGTGGTTGCCTAGTGTGCATAAAGTCTGTATTGCTGGCCGGGCGTGGTGGCTCACGCCGGTAATCCCAGCACTTTGGGAGGCTGAGGCAGGTGGATCACGAGGTCAGGAGTTCAACACCAGACTGGCCAACATGGTGAGACCCCATCTCTACTAAAAATTTCAGAAATTAGCTGGGCATGGTGGCTCATGCCTATAATTCCCAGCTACCTGGGAGGCCGAAGGCAGGAGAATTGCTTGAACTGGGACCCAGGAAGCAGAGGCTGCCATGAGCCAAGATCGCGCCACTGCACTCCAGCTGGGGCTACAGAGTGAGACTCCATCTAAAAGAAAAAGTCTGTATTGCTGGGTGCATATATATATATATATATATATATATATATTTTTTTTTTTTTTTTGATACGGAGTTTCGCTCTTGTTACCCAGACTGGAGTGCCATGGCACGATCTCGGCTCACCGCAACCTCTGCCTCCTGGGTTCAGGCAATTCTTCTGCCTCAGCCTCCTGAGTAGCTGGGATTACAGGCACGCGCCACCACGCCCAGTTAATTTTTTGTATTTTTAGTAGAGACGGGGTTTCACCTTGTTGACCGGGATGGTCTTGATCTCTTGACCTCGTGATCCACCCGCCTCGGCCTCCCAAAGTGCTGGGATGCCACCGCGCCCGGCCCTGGGTGCATATATTTTTAACGTTTCCCTATTATGAAATTTAATAAATCTACAGCAAAATGTATAAAACATAAAAGTAAAAAACTACCCCACTAGTCAAACAATGGTGCCTTGCCCTCTCCCAGAAGGTGCCTGTCCCTTCCCAGTAGTGCCCCCCGACCCCATCCCAAGACCAGCACTCCGGACATCTGCGGTGAACACGTTCCTGCTTTTTGTCAGGACTTTAACACCCAGCTGTGGGTTAAACCAAACCTAATCGAGTGTTGGCTAAACCTAAACACGATGATTTCGAGCTTCCAACATCCAAGTCCTTGGAACTCCATCGATTAAGGTTTTCTATGGAGGCTTCTTAATGGAGGGACAGTTGATTAAATCATTCCCATGGGACAGACTCGATCGAGTTCGCCTCCCCTCCCACAGGCTGAGGATGGGGCTGAAAGTTCCAACCCTCCAATCACCTGGCAACCAGAGCCCCCTTTCCAAAAGCCTCTTCATTGGCATGAGCCCCGATGCGATTGTGGGGGCTGGCTCCACATTTACTCCTCCTCACTTTGGAAATCACAAGGGTGTTATGAGCTCTGCAGAGCCAGGAATGAAGACCAAACCTGTATGTCTTAGTGCACCCCAGTATCCACTTCCCTGAAAAAACGTCCACGTTTACCTTTTGTTTCCAAAACCTAGTGGGCACAGCTGGTTTGTCGTCTGGGAATTCCTGTGCCGGGAGTTCTGCTGCCTGGTTCCGGCTGACCCTTTCCCATGCCTGCCGACTCTGTCAGGCACCTAGAATCACCCAGTGCACTTTCAGAGAACTTTTCCATATTTCTGGATTTTTTTCTTAAAACGTGTTTCTTATTAAATCTCTGTCTTTTAATTCATATTTATTTAATTATTTATTTATTTATTTATTTATTTATTTTTTTTGAGACGGAGTTTCGCTCTTGTTACCCAGGCTGGAGTGCAATGGCGTGATCTCGGCTGACCGCAACCTCCGCCTCCTGGGCTCAGGCAATTCTCCTGCCTCAGCCTCCCGAGTAGCTGGGATTACAGGCACACACCACCATGCCCAGCTAATTTTTCGTATTTTTAGTAGAGACGGGGTTTCACCATGTTGACCAGGATGGTCTCGATCTCTTGACCTCGTGATCCACCCGCCTCGGCCTCCCAAAGTGCTGGGATTACAGGCTTGAGCCACCGTGCCCGGCCTATTTTTATTATTTTTTTTTTAAGATGGGGTTTCACCATGTTGGTCAGGCTGGTCTTGAACTCCCTGACCTCAGGTGATCTGCCCACCTTGGCCTCCAAAGTGCTCAGATTACAGGCATGAGCCACTGCGCCCTGCTTAATTCATATTTATTATAATAATTCTTCTACAAGGACATATTTCTGCCATAGTTTTTATATTTTCTATTTGCCTTACTTTTTTGTTTTTTTTTTTTTCTTTTGCTGACTTTCATGAGAGTTTTTTTGTATAACTTTTCTAAAAATTTATATTTATTCGTTGATTCAACACACACACACACACATATACTTTTTTTTTTAGATGGAGTCTTGCTACGTTGCCCAGGCTGGTCTCAACCTCCTGGCCTCAGGCTCTCCTCCCACCTCGCCTCCATTGAACTGGACTTGCAGGTGTGCTCCACCATTCCTAGTACAACACACAACAAAACCTATTGTTTTGCTTTTTGCTGTTGGGGCTCGAAACGTCGCCCTCAAAAGTGGCCCCGTGGCACGTGAGTGCTTGGGTCTGAGGCATTGGAAAGGCCTCCAAAGCGAAGTCTCTCTGACCTCCTCCTTCCCTTCTATTTCCTGTTTGAATGCAGGGACCAGAATTCCTTCTCCCCACAGTGAGTCATAGAAAATAGAACTCCTGGCTGGGCGCGGTGGCTCACGCCTGTAATCCCAGCACTTTGGGAGGCCGAGGCGGGTGGATCACAAGGTCGAGAGATTGAGACCAACGTGGTCAACATGGTGAAACCCCGTCTCTACTAAAAATACAAAAAACTAGCTGGGCATGGTGGCGCGTGCCTGTAATCCCAGCTACTCAGGAGGCTGAGGCAGGAGAATTGCCTGAACCCAGGAGGCGGAGGTTGCGGTGAGCCGAGATCGCGCCATTGCACTCCAGCCTGGGTGACAAGAGCGAAACTCCGTCTCAAAAAAAAAAAAAAAAAAAAAAATTGTTTTTCTGTTTTTAAAAAAGAAACAGCTGACCCACCATGCAAGTTCGCCATATATCTTGCTTACTCAAAATGAGCATTTGCAGGTGAGGTCTGTTTTTTTTCTGGCCAAAGACTACTATGATTCCTCAGAAGTTGTACTGGCCCAATCGAGGAAAGAGTTTCCATGAAGACTCTGATGGCAGCATCTGGATGAGGAGTGGTCTATGACATTCAGTTGTTAAATTTTAAAGGGTATCCAATGGCTTTTTCCAGGCACTCAACTAAAGAGCCAGCAGAAAGAAAATCCCTCTCTACTTCTACAAATTTGATATAGATAGATTTGGGGGAAACTCCGGGATCCACAATACAGTTCTGAGACAAAAACCCGTTAATACCAACCCAATCTTTGCTGAAGATTTTGGTATTTGCTTGGAAATGTAAAAATAAGCACTGCTGCAGAGTCCTGACCTCCGCAATCCCGAGGTAGAATAGATAATTCGGATGGGTTCTATTTCCACCTGTAATGAGGCTTGTGGTGAAAGGGTTTCCAGGTCAACCCGGCCCTCTTCCTGGGTCCAGGGAACGTTGCTCCATGTGGGGTGAGAGGGGCCTCTCAATACATTCTTCATAGCCAATGGCATAAAGGCCTGGGCTTTTAGGAATACCTCCAGGCAATAAATATTGAACAACATTCCCACCGGTTGGTTTGGAGTGGGCAATGGGTATCCAGTCAATTTCCACGTGCAACTCCAAGCACCTAGCTTCACTAATAGTGATCTCTAAAAATTCGTAGTAAACATTTTTCCAGTTCATCTTCTGTACTCGCGTCATAATGATCCGTCCTTCAGGCTTCTCAGAGTTGAAGTACTCCCAAAGTCGCTTGCCAAGGGGCACCTGGGAGCTGATCTCAGCATAATGGTAACGGATATCCTCTTTCCAACGGGTGTTATAACCAATGCCAACAATGGCCAGTTTATTAGAAAGATGGAGCCTTGAAAAGTCTGCCCAGCTCTGAAAAAGCTCCCATTTCAACTGTACTGATTCCAAAATCTGTACAATATTCTGCATGATGTCTCTCTTCTGTGCTTCTTC